TACTGGTATCCATAGACAGGATCGATTGCTTATCAGGTTATCAAAAGCTTGAGCCATCTATATGTATACTAATATTATAAAGAGGTAAAATTTGTAAGTTTGTATGTAGGTTGTAATCTTTGGAACCGCTGGTCGGATTGCCAAAATTCTTTCACTGATATATAGCTACAATGTCCCTATGTGCTATAGGCTCTGAAACATCACGCTACGATTAAATGGAGCTGAGCAGCGGGAAACCGCGCGAGAGTAGCTAGTATCCAATAAAAATAATACAAATACTTATTTCAAGCGAGACGTCTTTAACATTAAAATCCTTTATTTAATCATCATCACAGCTTTATTTATTTCCGAGTGAACGAATTTCACAAGTGCAACTTCCCAATTAACGTCAGATGTTAAAGTTGCAATTTGTGTCTCTAACGTTGCTTGCTGGGGAAACTTATTTCGTTGAGTACCTACAGATACATATAGATATAACAAATACTCGTAGAATGATTAGATAGTTGGTATTCTTTTCAAATTAATTATTATCAGTAAAATAACAACACAGTCTATCGATTTATTTTGTCGAGACGCCTTTCCTGATGGTAAGCAATCGATTTCGCCCATGGACACCTTATGGGTGTCCATCAGAGGAGCATCAGAGGAGTTACGAGTGTTTACCCCGCCTAAAGGATTAAGGTTTCGTAGATTTAGAGATGGGGAAGGATGGGGAAGAGAAGCTATTGGACCACCGCATACCTTACGGAACAACACAGCGTCATGATTGTTTCACACTGTTTTTCTGTGAGGCCGTGGTATCATTCTGGTCGAACCTACCCATTCGTGATGATGCTTAGCTATTCCTTACTTAAGAAAAAATGTCACGTATGACTTATACAAGATTAGGTACATATATGCATAATAAGTTTTTTTTCAAATATCAATATGCTACTTTTTCGGGAACTTATAGACACTCTTTTATGGAAAGAGCGTACTGTTATATTTCTTTACTCTGTATAAAATAGGTAAACAAACTCGATAATATTCACAAAACAACGCCGACTATCATCAAAGGCAAATATAAATTGGCCCGAACACAAGCGAACAATAATTCCAATAACACGATTCGTATCGCGAAAGACCCCAAACCCGGGTTCGTGTAGAACAACGTTGACCCCACCTTGACCCCAAATGCGTTAACGTATCGATTGAGTGTTTTCGTAAGGCATACAAATACTCATCGTTAGTAATGTGTACTTGGTTACTGTTGTCTAGTTTCTGTAAACAAATACTAACGTAACTGTTTGTATTTGTGAGGAGAGAATCATCAAATGACTTTTCCCGCCCATGACCGGGCGAGTGGGAGTGTCAGACTCTTACTGACTAAAAATACCCCCGTTCCTTCTCCTGCTCTTACCCCGCAACCCCGGCTGAACATCAGCCCTATAGGGCCCCGTCTGTGGTGGTCTATTGGCTCTTTGAGGCGCGCGCGGAACGCTGCGCGCCGTACGCTCGGGTCTGCTTCTGGTCGTACGGCGAGCTACCCCTACTCGCCGTCCGCAGACCCGCGCTTACCGTGGCCGGAGATCATCTCTCGAAATATTAACGTAACTTCATAGACATATTTCGTAAACAGAATAAAATGGTTAAGTTAAAGTATCGTCGTGGTGGCCCAGAAGTTAAGGCGCCTGCTTTTCATTCATGGGGGCTCGAAACCTGGAAAGGACCAATGTCACTTTTTGCGAGTTACATGTACTATCTATGATTATTTAGACACCACCGACTTCATATGCGATGAAGGAAAACATCGTTACGGAACCTGGACTTATAATCTCGAATTATGAGTTTGAAATCACCAGTCCACCTTGAGCAAGCGTGGTGATTAATGCTCAAACCACCTTCATGAGAGCAGTAAGCAGTTGTTACGGTAATGATCGCATTCTAATTATTTGAAATTCCGTTTTATCATAGAAAATTTACCAATTACTTGACAAAACAACAAAGTAAGTCAAGTTGAATATTTTTTTTGTCCATAGGCAGCCCCGTTTGCTGTACCAGGCGATCCGTCGGTTCGTGTGCTGACCTATTTCATAAAACAATAAAAAGAAAAAACTGCACTATTGCATTACTAAGAAAACCATATTTAGAAGAACCTACATATGTGTTCTTTTACATGACCTCCCTCGACATAATTAGTATGATATAACCGTCACATCGTCAGACAAGACAATAGAAATCTCGATACTTTAAAATTCTCCCGTCGAAACCTCAATAAGTCGGTCAAAGTATGAGTATGAGTATTACAGCTTTTGACAAGGGATGATGCGAGGTTAAAAATATACGCATAAGTAAGCTTGATAAATTTACCTTGGGTCGTGGTGGAAAAATATATCGTGACACAAATCCTTACGGATAAGGAGATACGTTCGTACGTACGTCAATAGGGACATTTTGAGTATTTTTTTCTAACCTAACTTTATCCTTCTTTTTTTAGACATCGGGAGTATTTGGTAGTGTCTGTTTTAAGATTTGTTGGGAATATGGTACTTTTATGATTGATTTACACTGAAAAACTGTTAATAAAGTTACCTATTTCACTACGCCAGCTTACAAAATAAGAGAAAATTGCCGGTCAAGCGCAATAAGGTACCGCGTACGCGGCCTACAGCAAGAGAAGGAACGGGTTTGGTTTTTAGTCAGTAAGAGTCTCACACTCCCTCTCTCTCTCCGCACGCGGAACTAATTTTTAGCTTTTTTGTCAGTGGAAAATCATCAAATGACTTCTCGCGCCCAGGGTAAGGCGAGAGGGAGTGTCAGACTCTTACTGACTAACCCCCCTCCCCCGTTCCTTCTCCTGCTTTAGGCGGTGGCCGCAGTGCCTCATTGCGCTGCAGCCCTATAACGCCCCGTTTGTGGTGGTCTATTGGCTCTTTGAAGCACAAATGCACCGCTACGCGCCATACGCCCGCCCAGGTGCTCCATGCAGAACTAGAGTCATAATTCGGTGATAATTCCCAACGAAAAAAACATATTGAGTTTAACTAGCTTTATTTCTAACAAAATCTAGAAATACTAGACATTTTCTATCAAAAAAACATTCAAGAATTTGATCCAGCCATCAACAAAAAACGTGTCAGTCAATATATCTGCGACAATTTGCTAGCATTTGTCACTCAAAGTCTGAAGGGTCGTGGCGAACGGAACGGGGTCGTTTGACATGCGTCGGTAACCGCCGGTAGTTGCGACTAGTCGGGGCGTTTTGTCGTATAGTATACATAGTATTTTACGTTACCTATTTTTGTATATTTTGCATGCCCAATGGTAAAATATGGCTGTGCTTGTTAAAAAATGTGTCATCTAGATTGTTACCCATATTTGCGAAATAAATATATCTTTATATCTGTATAATACTAAACTGCAAATTTCAATTGATACTGATTTGGTGGAATGTCATTCTTGAGCGCATTATGGGACCTGAAACAAAGTTACTAGCGCGAGTTAGCTAAACTGGTGGTCGATACTTGTTAAGGTTCAGTTGGCTTTATAATTATTTAAAATAAATAAATGGTTTTATCACCACATACCATCATAGGCGAGTGAAGAAATATTTGGAAATCAATAAACTAATAAAGTACAATTGGGTTTAATTCTACAACAATTTTCTTGTATTTCAGATAAACTTTTGCTATGTGATATGTCGACAAATAATCACATACGGATAACCTGATGGTAAGCAATCGGCGCCGCCCATGGACAACCACAACACTAGAGAATTTACAAGTATATGCCTTCGCTGACCTCACTAATACGACGAAATATAACGCTATAGTTATTTCACACCAGTTTTCTCTGAGGCCGTGATATGACTTCGGTCGAGCCGACCCATTTTTGCCGAAGCTAGGCTCTTCCACACTTAAGCCGTCCTTTGTCTATGCCTGTGCCTTTATTTTAGTTAGGGAAATATGGAAACCATAGCGATCAACAATACTAAATACCTACTGGACGATAAGTAGCGTATGATGTTAATATAAATAACAATGAAAGATAAGAAAGAAAAATGCGTTTATTCGTCATCAAATATGAAGCTCAAGAACAAAAAAAAAATGTAAATGTTATAAAGACAAAAAAACAAAAAGATACGCAAAATAATAATAGCTAAACAATCTACTAATAAAAGTAAAATATACTACGCAGTGTTGGCCGATATGCCCAATCCGAAAGGGTCGTCAACTCAAAGCTGGGCACAATGTCAACACTGAATTTCAGTTGGATATTAAAAACAAACCTGACATACAATGGTATTAATGTTTTTTAAAAAAAGAATTTGATTGCTGACCAATCATAACCATCTTTTATATTACTAGGCCTGCATCAGGTCGAATAAAAATACAAAAATGCTACAAACAATCCTCATTGTCCCTCAAAATAAGCCTCGACATAAAACACCCACTAGCTGCTCTTAATATCAAAATGTAGCATTCAAACTCTTGAGCACTCAAACTAGGTTGGAACTCCACACACATTGTACTTGTTGCTGGAAATAGGTCAAACAGAAGTGGTTCTGGTTCTAGACAAGTTAGGACATGACGCAAATGGAATGAGATTATGCTCAGTACTGTTCTCTAACTAATTTAAACTCGGCCGTAAATATTCTTGTGTGGAGATACTTGTCATCTGTGGGGACTTGCTTGTATGTACGTGTAGTATAAGTTTGTCGTGTTATACTAAATATTCTTCACACGAAATCGCCAGAGCACACATATATGCACCTTATACCTACTAATTTGAAATAATTGCTAGTAGTTCTTGTAATAGGAAGCGTGCATTTGGCTAATCTGGCTTATCCTTTGGTAATGTTGAGGAAAAATAATTGGGTACTCTGATTTTTCAGTGTTATAATGATACCGGTGCCATAGTTAAGATTATTTGTTGAACTTACCGTACAACGGCAGATTTCCTGGACGGAAAGTTAACTTTAGCAATTAAAAATAATCCATGGTAATGTCTATTGTCCTCAGGCAAAGTGGACGAGAAGGCGACGCAGTTACACGCGATAGCTTCCTTAAAAGTGTTGCTGGAGGCGACACGGCCGACAGCTGGTGGTGCTGGTGCAGCCGCTGCAAGACATTCTGCAGCAGCCGCGCAAGCTAAGGAGACGCCCCTAGACCTGCCCAACGGCGGGATCGCGGACGTCCAGTTAGATGCTATAGAAGAGGTAAGATGGTTTGTTTTACTGTATGATCAAGATGATGAGTTATTTCTGGGTGTTAAAGTTCAAAATGGCACAAGGAATCATTTGATCAATGGTTATCTTAAGCGTGGCAAGGATATATGATTTGACTAAGAAAACAACGATAAAATCAAAGTGCTCGATAATCAATTTCAGCATTTTTCTCTTCTATTTGTATCCAACCGAAATTGTACGAACAATCTAGAAAAGAAATCGAATAGAATTGTAGCCAAACTTCTGTCATATCAAGATAAACACGCCTTTGTTCGATCTAAGAGATTTATAGTTTCAGTCATCTCCGTCTCTCATTGTGTGCGACGTGGCAAATGATTAATTGACTCCACGACCTGAATCCATAGGCCAGCAATCTGCACGGTTTGGGCCCGTTTTTGTGCTCACAAATTTAATTTTTTTTGGCCCAGAAAATGTTATGTGTGACCGTGATAGATGTCGTAATTAGGTAGGTCTAGGTAAATTCTTTGTTTTTCGCAGCTAAAGTTAACAACTAGGAGCTTTTAAATAGACGTAAGATACTTTTGATAATTATTTTTACTTCATTTATTGTATTTATGTATGAAGAAAAATCAAAAGCATCGTCTTATTATAAATTTTTATTCTAACTTTCTGTAACATTGAAAAATATTATCAATAATAACTCCATAGTGGGCATTCATCAAATATCCAAATCACTTAACTGTTTTGTGTTCATCATCTTTAGGATCCAGCTAAACTTAAGAAGATTAAGATAGGCAAGGATAAAAAATGCTGCAGTTGTCCGTCATCTCTGTGAACATGTTAATGTAAATAGAGATCACTGACAAATGCAGCAACAATCATCGACTGCAAGATTTTAAAGAAACAATAATTGTTAATCGTCATTAGCTGGAAGTGGAACAGAATGATCATCTCAAGAAGAATTTGTTTATAACCCACGCGTTAAAAACGCGTTTTTTTCTAGATGCCAGTTAAGTTGCGCAAACATTACAAGTGTGCTGCCAATTGTTACTAGGTTTGAGAATCTAAATGACAATATTAAAGCAATTGGATTCGTTAACAAGCACTAAGGCTAAACTTTCTTATACTTTAAAGTAAAAGTATGTATAAATAGTATCCTATTACAAAAATTATTTTCTTCTGTAGGTGAAAATCTGTTGTTACAGACGTCAGCAATGCTAAACGTTGTAAAAAATTAACATTATACATAAACTTAGAAACAGTGCATTCAGTTGTATGATGGTTATCATGAAGTCTTAATGAAATGAAGAAGAAGAAGCATTGGAGATCATCGTGACCAACTTACTGATCCCCACTCCGTTCGTTCTTGTGTTGTGATCCACCAGAACGATCGAAGAGGTTGGACCAGTCGGTTGGGTCTTAGCGAAATTCTAAATCAAGAACTTGAGAAGACAGATAAGACAGCTTTTCCGTACGATGCATAAGTTTTTTTATATTTTATATTATATTACCTAGACCTGATAGCTACCTATGGATACACTGTGAAATTGGTCATGATTTATTAATAAAATCATAGTATTTTTTTATAATTTTCCAAACTTATTTATAAAGTTTCATACAAATCCTCCATGTTCGTTTATAAGTTTTTTTCATTATCAGCTTTATTTATACATAATTGTTTTAAGGCCTATTATGAGCCTTCAAAACTATTATCTATCGAAAATTGCAGCTGAATTTGCTAATAAAATTGGAACAGTGAGAAAAGCAGGAGTTGGTTTGTTCATATTTCCCATCTGAATAGCCCAGTCTCTCATTCTTGTTCTTAATGAACACAAGACGGAGTGACTGGGATCATATTGAGTGGGAACCTCACGACGTCATCAGCTGTTCATTTACACAGAAGTTTCATACCATACTTCATTCTTCCTCATTCTTGTCTTCGTTTGTTTTAGTTACTTCTCTTACTGTGTCATTGTTTTCATGTTTTATGTGCATTGTTTTATTTTCATGCTAAATAATATCGAATACGTGAATCTATGTGTGTGTTTAATACTTTTCTGTACTAATATTATGTAAAATTTGTAATTTCGTATGTAGGAGGCATGGGAACCACTGGTCGGATTTCCAAAATTCTTTCACACAATGCTCCTGAGTGGTATAGGCTATAAATTATACTTGATTTACGTATTTAGTCCAGCTATCGCTTTAAACGCTGCTGTTCTTAAAATCTCAGAATACATTACTTTTTAACTCAGATACACAGTCATCATCGGACATCAGACATACAATCTTATCAACAAATCTAAAAAGCTCTTGTATATGTAAATATTATAAATAGTCTCCTTGTCTTTATGCATTCATTTGGAACTACTTCACCAATTAGCTAATGGAGTATTTATGTCAAACTAAAGGAAATTTTTATAACAGTCCAAATGACGTCTGCTTCCTTTGTTCTCTAAAATTTTATTGATATTGGTACACTTAATATTCAACGAACTTCATTGTAACGAATCACATTCACGTCTGTCGATTTAAATTAAAATCCATTTTTGTACATGACAATCCCCCGATCCAGGGTGATAAACAAATTTTTTATTTCATTTTTTACCTAATCCGTTTGGACAAGTGACTGGAGATGTTGTGCACTGGGATTTGTATTGTCAAATATTTTTTAAATAATACGATTGGATTATTTCACGTATTACAATGTAAAATCTAAATCGCATTGTATTTTTGGCTTTCAACTGCTTTCGTGTAAACACAAACATGATAATTTAATGTTAATGTCTTTTTAGATAAAGTTTAACAAATACATTAAGCACTTTTATAAACAAAACTCCACTTAAATTAACAGATTTTACAAGGTTTTGTTTTAATCCTCTAAGCTTGGCTCTAGTAATGATAAATACATTTGGAATACACGCAAAATCTCACTTAGTCCGGTCTCATAGTCTAGGTGGCAATTTGTTATCTATGAATCGTGTGTGCCTGACAGTCTCCGGCAGTGCCATCCCCCAAAATGCCTTTTTCCTTGTATATAACTTTTCCTTTTAACTGTCCTACCAACTATCTAAGGGTTTATGAGTGGGTCTCCATAATAGAATGCCGAAATTGGGTCCTCGTGATGTCCCAGCCCTTTGTAGTTAAATTTATTGTGTTCAACGTCGCTCTGTTTCACGCCTTACCGGCTATTTAAACTTCCAAATAGTTTTATTCTGTGTGAGTAGAATTATGGCGCGTTTTGGTGCGTATATGCTACCATTCCTTTTAGGATTACGTTTAAGGATCCAAATATAACAATTCGGGTAATTTTGGTACGAAAAATGTATTTCTTCTTTAACCTTATCAAACTAATTCACACAATCTTACTTTTTTCTAGTTCACAATAGCTTCACCTATCAAACTTTCCATGACATAATCAGTGGCCATTGTTCCAGATTGGAGACCTGGAGGATGACACGACGCCGTTGGACATGTCGTGGCCATCAGGGTTCCGCAAGCGAGTAACATACTTGTTAGTCGCACCCATTGTCTTCCCACTCTGGATGACCCTACCAGACACAAGAACACCGAAAGGTATACGTTTTGTTACATGTTTGTTCTTTCTTTTAAAGTATTTCTTGTCTAGAGGGCGCTAGTGTTGTTTATGAGCTCCTAAGACTAATAACATGGTGATATTACCTGTGTTGATGAACGTTTTTTGGTCCTTTTAAAAGTTAGTTAACTATATTTTCATGTCAATTGTAAATCTTAAAAGTGCATTATTAACATTTAGTGCTAAAATAGCGAATTCCGAAATCGAGAGATCTATGAATAAGTACATGTTTAATCAAAGAGGACTACAGAAATTTAAATTCATGCAACTCCATTGTTAAAAGTCCTTTAATTAACACATGCCTTTTTCTTTTCAGGGAAAAGATTTTTCCCGGTAACATTTATAGGGTCCATAGTTTGGATAGCTTTCTTTTCGTACTTGATGGTGTGGTGGGCAAATGTAGCCGGAGCTACGGCCCATGTGCCACCTGAAGTGATGGGGCTGACGCTCCTGGCTGCAGGGACCTCAGTTCCTGACCTCATCACGTCAGTCATCGTTGCCAGAAAGGGGTTCGGCGACATGGCTGTCTCCAGCTCAGTCGGCAGCAATATTTTTGATGTTACTGTTGGGTAAGTTTTTATTGTAACATTGATTTTGTTTACTTTTGAAAAAACTAAACTTTTAAGTTTTTTGTGGTTGAATCGATGCAGTGAAATTTTTTCGTCGTACCTATTTTTCTCTCCTTTTTGATAACGCAAATTTTTCATAAAATAATTCATTCATTTTCTAAAGGCGCTTGCCCTTATTCTGAGCCAAGAAAAGTTTTAACGCAAACGTACGTTGCGGCTATGTTTCCTCGGCTAGTTTTGAGCATTGCGGCTTCTCCCCCCAAGAGGGATGCAAACTATCTGATAAACGCTATTGCAGATGAAACCGATATTTTAACGGGTGAAATTCCGCGCCTGCCGAATACTTTAGCGCGGGCATTCCTCGGAGAAACTCTGGCATAGTTTAGTAGTTTCAAATTTCGGCCACTGAGAGTTATGACCTTTTTGAAAATGGCAACAAAAGTCCTCTTTCGATATTTATTATAAACATTTCCCGTTTTATACTACCTGCATTTATTAGTTTGTTTTATCGAGTTCACATTTCAGTTTGCTATTTTAACTTTGTGACGATGCATTTAAAGTAATATTTGCTTCAGTTTGAGTAGATCGCTTATTACCAGCTTATTTCTCCGGAATCTTTAAAAAGATATTAAAGGTTAAAAAAAACATTCGTACTTAAAAAGAATTATTCAATAAAAAAACAGTAATCAACTCTCTATAAACTTTGTATTATTAAATAGATAAAAATATACGTATGTCATGTGACGTAGCGTTCGTATAATAGGATAAAATACTTCATCAATCCCCTACAGATTCCCTCTAATTACGTTCCTTGATTGGATTCGTGAAACATATATTATGTTACTTATTTTCCCTTCACTGGCCACTATAGTCGTAGTAAAATACTAATAAAAATCTTGTTTCTTATAAAAGTAAGAGAGCTTGACGATATTTTCACCCCTATATTTCTAAAAGATATGTTAGTAAATTTTAAAATGCACCCTGATTTAACTAAGAAAAGAGTGGGAAAGCCATGCTTTGGCTCGTGTCGGCTCGATCGGAGTGATCACAGCCTCACAGGAAAACGGCGAAAAACAACCACGGAGTGGTTTTGGTCGCGTGAGTGAATTGATAGGCCCAATTCTTCCCTTTCCCAAATCCGATTTTTTTTTAACCCTAATCCCCGAAAACGCGCTTATTAGTCCTCTCGTAATTTATTTTATTTATTTAAACTTCATGCACAATGGGTACATAGGCGGACTTAATGCCTAAGGCATTTTCTACCAGTCAAACCTTGGGTGATGCAGAGATGAGCCAATGGTCGGTGCAAGAAGCAAGCAAACGGCTTAATTTTAAATCTGTTATGACATACGAGATAGATATGTATATGTGTGTGTATTATTAACGTACAAGTTACTATTACTAATATATACCTACATTCATACTCAAATTATATTATGTAATAATAAATAACATCTACATATATATACTATATACATACATATACTAATACTTATTAATAATAATGTATGGTGGTCACGATTTAGCCAAACCTTTCAATAAAAGCTCACGAACCTTTTGTTTAAAAGTCAAGCGACTAGACACCATCCTGACATCCGGGGGGAGCGCATTCCACAGCAAGACAGACTGGACAAAAAACATGTATCATCACTTCATCTTTAGCCTTTATTGCTTTAAACAAGGCACATTTTAATACCCAATATCAACTAGCTCCTTTCCTCCCTTGTTCCGCAATATCGCAAGCCCCAAATCCTCCAAAAAAGGCGGCAATACGGTAACGTTTGTTGCTATTTTCATTGTAACTCCTCTGATGTTGTAGATACTCATGGGCTCCGATTAGCATTACCATCAGTTTATCCGTCTCTTCGTTAACTCCATAAAAATAAATCCTTCAATAGAAACATTCAAATTTAAATTTCTAATGTTCCTTGCAATGAAAACCGACACCCAGAACTATTGCAATTTTTGGCAAGTTAATAAGCTAACCCATGTAAACCATATGTATGCTAGTCTGACCCTATATTCATATATTGAATTAATAAAAGAACCCAAATACAAGTTTAACGAAACTAAGTAAGTGTACCCAACATCTGCTAACCAAAAACGTAACAGACTTAATCAAATGAACTTCCCCAACCTGTGTTCCAAGATAAGAACATTCTAGACTTTAAATAACGAACGTTACGCCATCTTAAGCTTACCCACTAGTTGGAACGCCGCCAAAAAACGACGGTAGTTATGAATTCGCGCGCTTTTTCTCAAGGAGTGGGGGAAACTGCGCATTTTTTTTCGAGACGCCGCTCGAGTAGGTCGTGTTTGCTTTTTGTTTATTTTTTTGCTAGAAGATGTACAGAAGTTTCTTAATTAGCATCTGAGAGAATAAGATTTTTGTATACCTCATGTTTAAGAGTAAAATTATAACTTTCATGTAATAGGAATGAGTCATTGCTACTATTAATAATAATTCTTGAATTAAGGGTATCAAAGCATTTTATAGTGGTCATTTTATTTAACCTTTTCAAATTGTATTCGAGCACCAAAAGTGGTAAACTAACGCCAATTTGCCTATTATAATTATTAACTATATCTATTGGTGAGTTAAACAAATGCTTATCAATAATGTCGAAAATTAAACATAAGAATATTTTTTTCAATACAAAGATAAGCAACGATAGGCTAAGCGCAATAAGGCACTGCAGCCTCAGCCTAGAACAAGAGCAGGAACAGGGTGTTTTTAGTTAGTAAGAGTCCGTCACTCCCTCTTGCATCAACCTGGGTAAGAGAAATCTTTAAATGGATATTCCCTCACAAAAAATACAACCGCATTTCTTTCAACAAAAAAAAATATTGTTGAAATTCTCAAAATACGAATGAATTTCCTGAAATCAGTTGGCTCTCTGCCCTTGAGGTCGGTACTTTCACTTGAACTTTACAGGCCAAGAGACGGAGCTGACAACAGTGACCTTGAAACGTTAATTCTCTATCAATATTTTACGCTTTGAAAGTTTTAAAGCACGACAATGTTACGCTAACTATTAAAAATACCACGGCCTTGCAGGAAACCGGCGTGAAACAACCACAGCGTTGTGTTTCGCCGTGTGAGTGAGGTAACCGGAAGCCCAATCCTTCACCTCTCCCAATCTCTAATCTCTAAAAAGTCGGCAATGCACTCGTAACTCCTCCGTTGCCCTCGTCCATGGGCGGCGCTGATTGCTTACCATCAGGTGATCCGTCTGCTCGTTTGCCGACCTATTATATAAAATAAAAAGTATGTTAGGTCTTATAGCAACTAGCCGGAGTTGTGCAATAGTGGACCGCGGCCTGCCTGGAGCAGAAAGAACAGAATGATGTTGAGTCAGTAAGAGTCTCATGCTCCTTCTTTCTCCAAACATGTCAAAATAAATCATTCGATAATTATCCTCTCTCAAAAAGAAGGTCTTATAACAAAGAAACACCATTCTTCTTAAAATTTCATTTCAGTTTCTTCTACCTGATCCTAACGCCAACCGAATACCTACCTAATAAATAACGAACATGAAATTATATTACAACAATATTGAAAACCGGCTGGCACGATCACGAATCGTGAACGAAACGAGGCCACAGGATACAATCTTTGACCCAATTCCGTAAGCAGTTGTTGGATCACCCTTGACTTCAAACAATACGATAGCTTTAATCGTCTCTACTAGAACTAAGTTATGCGTGCAACTTCGCTCACGTTTTAGAAAAACAAAATGTTAGCAATATCATTACATAGTATAAAACAAAGTCGCTGTCTCTATGCCTATGTTTGACTTAAAACTACGCAATGGGTTTTGATCGGGTTTTTTTAATAGATAGAGTGATTGAAGAGAAAGTTTTATGTACTATGATTAATAACACCATTAAATAGTGGAGAAATTTTGTACTAGCATTGCACCCGTGCGAAGCCCGGGCAGGTCGCTAGTCTATATAATACATGATCTACATATGTCCTTCATGCAAAATTTTATCTTTGGTTGTCTAATAAAAATGTCACATATTAAGTAATTTTCACTTGTTATGATTTTATATCGTCTTAACCTGACCTAATTTCAGATTCAGACATGTTCTTAAAAATTATTTGGTTTTTATAATCAAAACATCATTACAATTGAGAAGCCTCATCTATCGCTAAATCAAAAAGTATCAAAATTTATTCAGCTGTTTAGAAGCAAAAGTAAAACAAACGAACAGACAGCAATTATTATTTATTTGTAAAATCCGGTGAAATAATATGCTACCTAACACGTAAGTATCGTTCAAAAGTGTTTACAATTTGCGTAACACACGCTGGTAAATTAATTTAAATGTTGGGTCAAATAATAGAAACCACTGCGAGGCTAAACCACAAAACCAGCCGTAACCGCGCAATAAATTATCACACACCACAAATCTCCATTTCTGGCAGTTTGGCATTTGGCAAAACATGTCATAATGCATTTGGCAGTACGCATATTTGAGTTTGCCAAGCTTTATAAAGGCTGTTATCAATTACTGAATTTCAAATTAACATAGATACTTTTTGGATTGGGATATCGTTTTAGCTCTCCTCCTCGTCTTCTCTCGATTTGCATCCAATAAGGAATTAGCTAATGTCACTACCATTGGACGCTAAAATTTTGACAGCTTCAATGATTGGTCAAACTATAGGTACTCTTGTTAGATTAGCGCCATCTATCGAGTAAAAACGGTAGCCCTTATTTAGAAAGACGCCTCGCCCATCCATGCATACCAACTTTTGCTTTTAATATTATTTTTGTGAAGTGGGATTGTCTCAGCTATATTAAAGAATATAGAGTACAATTCCAAATTCCTTTAAATTGACCAAGTAATGGTATACAAGAACTCTTGATAAACGAGAATAGAGGTTAGATAATTTACTTATGATCAAACGTGGTACTAAAAACTTCTTGCCCAAGATGTTATCGGATACAGCAAGAAATTGATATGGCACTATAAAAACCTTCCCCCAGGTA